ATGATGTGCCACATAATGAAAAAAATATTTGCAGTCACAACTTGCATTCTAGTTGCTGCATTTTTTAAATTAAACATTACAAAGAGTTTGAAAACTGCACAACACTTGTTGATGGCCAATAGGAAACACTAATACTATGAAAAGTAATCAATGCTTCTACATATCTTTGAAGACACTCTTGATTCATAAATTGTTTTTCAAAATCAGGTTGCCATATATGGTTTCACTGGGTATTTGTAAGCATTTTTGGCCAAAACCCATTGTTTTTATTTAGGACAATCCCTGAACCCCTTTTAGTTACATGTCATTAATGCTTTTGTAATGTAAGTCACTGTATTTTATGAAGCCATTCTGAAATCCATTATATTGCACTAAAGAGGTCACTGTAGTTTGGGATTCTTTCCAAAGAGAATTTTTGGGTATTAAGTTTCCTGTGTTGGCGTCTAGGTCTAGAGGCATGTGAAGATCTGATCATTCCTTGGTTTCCCTCCAGCCTGTTAGCTAGATCTTCTAATTTGCAATACCATGTTTTATCTGTGGTATGACCTCTACCATCAACTTTGATCAGCACTAAGAAGCTGGCAGTCAAAAGAGCAGCAGGCAAAAATAAAACATCATTGTTAGAAACGCCTTCAATCAAGTGAATTCTAGCAATTGTTCTTCCTCCCAAAGCCTCTCATGAAAAAACAAAGGTATTTGAATAATAATATGCTAAACACCTTCTGAACTACAACTTCTACTGTAGTGCTTCTTATAGCCCAACTCCCTGGATCCTGAAACTGGCCACAATGCACTTTTGTATGGCTGGTAATGAACCATTTCAAATGAAGACTGGATACTGAAGGAATTACACGCTGTGTAATTGATCTGAAGAACAGATTAGGACTGGTGCTATTTCATTAAATCTGACTAGCTATGACTTAAGTACTTAAAATTGCAGCTATCCTGTGTCAGATAGGTTACACCCCTTGTCACATGGCAAGTGAGGTTTTCATCTACTAGATCACAGTTTTTTAAAAGGGACAGGGTAGTGAAAAGGACTGTAAATGAAGGACCATGTAGGCTTCATCTTCAGACACATTGAGCCCCAAATTATTCATTCAGCTGAGAGAAATACTCCAACACTTTCAAAATACGTATGAAGACCTGTTGTTCATTTGCATATGTTGGTATTAAATCACTTCTGTGGAACCTGAGTTTGGTTTTTTGCATGTGGAACAGCCCTGAAGAGTCCTGGTGGGTGAGCACAATAAAGATCTTACATGATTGCAGGGGAATCCAGTGGGTCCTTCCAAAGCATCAAATTTCTCTTGTTTCCTTCCCACTGGAGCTTAACATGCCTCAGGAACCAGGAAGCCAGTAAGGCTAGAGGACAGTTCTGGCTGAGGAACAAATAGATTCAACCAAACCAAAATTAAATTCAACTTGGAAAATAGTTTGTAGCTCTCAAAAAAGAAAGGGCTTTTATTACCTTAGGACTCAAACTCATTTTTAGGGACTCGAACTTGCTTAGAAAAAAATATTTTTCCTGGCTTGGCTTTCACAACAGTGTGCTAGACTTTCTTACTCTTGTGCTGGTCTTTCTTACCTTCTATTCTTTTGTCCCATGACCTAGCATTTAGCTCCATAATCCCCTTAATCAAACAAAATAGCATAGAAAGCCTTTGATCTGAATTTTCTCCACAAGGCATATTACACTACATTGAATACTTTTCATGAGATCTAGAATGCTGCACTGTGGGAAACAAGACTGAAAATTTGAACACCATTAAGCAGGATTTCAGATAATACTAAGGGGTGAAATACTAACAAAAGAACCATAGACTTTGGTTAAAACAGATAATACTCAAGGCTTTTTTTATTATTATTCCTTTGACGAGAGACTGTTTAAGACCCTCTCACATGCAGAGTCGCCATGTTAGTACCACAGCCAAAGCAGTGGCTCATACAGATAAAGAATAAAGTAAAATTAATCCAACAGATGTGTTTTGCAAATATAAGAAATTATTCCAGCAAGTCTTAAAAAAATGACAATCACATAAAATACCAACTCCACCTTTTAAGAGTTATTTGATTTCTTTTATATTATTATGTAAATCTCAAAGCCATTTATCTACCACAAAAACCTGCTTTCCTTCTTATACCCTAAGTCTGGTTCCTACAAGGCTCCTGCAGCTGGTGGCCTTGGCATTCAAACCTGCCAGGACTGACCACTCTCAAACAGAGTGGCCACAGTCAAATGCTCTGCACTGAGCCCTGAGGGGCAAAATCCCAAGACAACCAATTCTCTTTGATCGTGGTGGTGTCAGATGAAGGTTTGAAATCTCTGCCAGTAAACACAGATCTATCTGGTCCTCTAAGCCTCAAAGCTCCTAAACTGCCCATGCAAGACTCCTTTCAGGAGAGTAGATTTAAACCCTGGTATTCCTCTAAATATTCAGCTTTCCTTTTTCATTTACCCAGGGTTTGAAAGGCTTGCTGCCTCACTGCTAATCAAGGATCAAGTGTAGATTGCTAATTCAAGACAAGGAAAAATAAAAGGGGAAAAGAAAGCACATGGCATATTTGCTTATGTTCAGTACTGTAACTTCATACTCTAATAGCTCACACTGATATATAATTAATTTCCACTTCCTGCCATGTTCATATAAAATAGTTAGCACTTACTCACTGGAAAGACTAAAAATGGGTGTGAATGACCTGTTACTCCCCCAAAATCTCACCTGGCAAAACCATCTTTTCCTTCTTTTCCTTTCTCATCTCCCTCAAGGAGTAAAACTCCATCAGAGCAAACAAAAGGAGAATAAAGCTTTCATACAGTTTAAAAGGTGGAAATTGTATTTGGAGAGAAGATGAAAACTCACTTACAAACTCACTCCTGTACAAAGCCTTCAACATCTGCTGCATAGATGGTAAATATAATTTTAAATTGTCTGATAGCTTAACATAAGGAGGTTAAAAGCAGGGCAGCTGTTCCCAATCCATATTTAGCCTGAGGCTTTCTACCTGTTTTGGACCTGCAGGAAGGCTTGAATACTGAGATTGTCCGTGATTTTATACAGTATTGCTTGATTTATTAAAGATGCTATTCTCCCTGCAGGTCTTATTACACTGTTCAAAAGGTTGTGTACAACTTACCATAAACACAGAATTTTAAGTATTTTTGTATCTAGAGTCTCACCCAGAATTATTCTTTTGTATATGTTCATGTGTAACTTGGTCCATGAGACATGAATAAAGATCAGCAATTAGCCACAAGTAAACTCCAGGAGAATTGGCTTTGTATTGCATCTTGCACACTCTATTTCAAGAATAAAACTGGGGCAAAACATAGTGATATGCTTTCTGGATACTAACCAAGACTTGATAAGACCTGATGGATTTTGCTTGTTAAAAGTAAAAATTTTATTACATATCATGCCCTTGAAAAATTAACTTTGTTTCCATTAAATTTTGTTCAGCATGCCTTGAAATAGGAATGGCAAAATTTATTCAAGGAACAGATCACCAAGATTCACAGTACCACAGTGACTGCAATTGCCTATTTTCCTGGCTCAGTAAAACAAAACAATTTTTTTTAAACTACAAAATATTAAACAGTGAAATTAACAGATGCAATCTCTGTCTCTCCTTCAGTATGACTGAAATCATCTGTACAGAAAAGCTGTGTGCCATGGACCCACATCCAAAACCTGCTGATGACAGTGGACATCAATTTTGACAGCCTTGTCACTGCTCTGTCCATATGCACTGACCCTGCATGAACCACTGGATACATTATTAAATTCAGATTTACAAAGATGCTGCCAATGGGTCAGCTACAGTAAAATATTTATATTTCAGAGTAACAGTATTTATATATACTCCCTACCTCGTGCTCTAATTTGCCTTCTTATCACTAGGCTTGTGTTTGTTTTCCAAATGCTGAAAAGACTTTGTTGGTTTATTCAGGAAATTTGTCTAGACAGTGCTCACACAGCACATTTGCTCACATTTGACATTTTCACAGGATGGGAAACAAAATGGACGATCCATGGTTTTAAGCTCCACAGATGGCACCTAAGCCAGTCAACTTATTTCCAGAATAAGGAGGATTTGGAGTATTCTTGTTCCAGGCAGCCTCTGGAACAACACAACAGCAGGACAGGACACACACTCAGGGTTTGGGGCCAGCTGAGGCCTCCTGAAATCCATCCATCCACCAGGACATTTACTGCCTCAGAAGAGCCAAATATCCAAGTGCTAAATTGTGATGTCTCTACAGCCAACAAATGTAAAATGTGGCAATATAACGGAGCATGTGGCTATTTTATCTATTCAACATTTATCTGTGTCTAACTAGAAGAGGTCTCTAAAATGCTGCTCTTCAGCAGCTTGAAGGTTGAGAACCACCTGTAAACATTTGCAGAACAGTCTCCTTCTAGAAACAGAGACTCCTAAACAACCAACCTTGAAATGTGTCATATATTATATTTCCAACATTATTTACAGATCTTCTTGTTTAGTACAACGAACCAGACATGCTGAAAAGGTAGGATTTTTCCAGTCCTCTTTTATACGAAGTACAATAAAAAAGGCACATAATTATTCACTGTAGGAGTTGTGCACCAGTCCAAAACTTAAAGCTAAAAAGCTACCCATCAGAGAACTCTCTTTATGAGGCAGTATTGGGATATCTCCCTTGAATAGAAATCTGTCAATTCCCCTAGGAGTGCTTGAGGAATCCACTTTCCTGTTGTGTTCTGGTCTTCACAAGATTTCCACATCAACAGAAAACTCTCGTTAAGCTTCCCACATCATCTGCTGGGGCAAGGAAGAGTCAAACAGGGCATGAGTGGGTCTGCTTTCCTTTTTCTTCTTTCTTTCCTTGGAATGCCCAACGATGGAGGACTCTTGAGAGCCAAGACCTGTTCAAACTAATTTGTTTTGAGACAAATGCCTCACGGGATATGGCACACTGAGCAATGGACACCAGCAGGAGAGGCAGCTCAGCCCCACAGTCAGTGCCGACCGTGTTTGATCCAGTTTCTAATCATCCATTTCTGCCCCGAGCACCTTTGTACAACTAATCTGAGCCCAAAATTTGCATCCTTTGACATTTCCACTTCTAGACAACGGCCAGTGTCTCTGCTGATGATTGGACCATTCTAGGGAAAAAAGAAAAAAAAGATGGGAAAAAAAAAGATTAGAGGAAAGAAAAAAGAAAACACAAGGTGAATGGACTAGAAAAAACAGTGCTAGATCTCTAAATCCTTAAAAACCACTATAAAATGTATTTTTGTATATATCAAGTGATAAATATCCCAGAAAGTGCTAGAAATTCCTAGAAAAAGCTAGCTACTACATAAAAAGTACCAAAACAATTGATATAATATAATAATTGATTCCTTGATAATTGTACGTTTAGGAATTGTTGGGAAAATCCACCCAAATCACTAGAAAATCTCTAAAAAGCACAAGTGAATCTCTATGGAGCCCAAGAAATAGGAAATCCCAGACTATAATAAGGCTTTTGAAAGGCTTAAAAATTACTTGAAAATTCTAGATCTTAAAAAATGCCTGTAAAGGTGCTAGAAAAATTCTAGAAAAGTTCTAAATGCAAGGAACTCCTGGACAGTAAACAATTACAAGCATGTTATTGACAATCAGGACAGGAATTGAGAATATTCCAAAACAGGGTAAGTAAAAATTCTTAGAAATCATACCCTAAAATTTCTGGTAATAATGAAAGAATATTCCTGGGTAGCACATGATGTATGGAAAACGTATCTGACTATGTCAAAAAATACTGGGGGGAATACCAAAGACCTCCTTGTTTTTCATTAAAGACTCTTTAGAGCATCATTCCTCTGCAAGTTCTCTCTTCCTCAGCTCTTCCTCACCTGTGTGAAATCCCAGAACCTCTGTGCTGGCCTCAGGACATCTTCACACTTCTTGAGGGTGGGCGTCCTGCCCTTGCCATCGTCCACCAGGCATTTGGAGTCGGGCAGGAAGGCGGTGGAGCCCAGCGGCCCCAGCTGCAGGACACCTTCCGAGCTGTAGCGGACAAGCTGGGGGAGAAAGGAGAGTTCTGAGCTGCTGAGGAGCCTTTTGGCTTGCTGGGACACACTGCTCAAGGGCAAATGTTGGTAAAACCTAGAGCACAACGTTCTCTTCTCCCACACTTCTGCTCCCCACCACTCCCCACCCACCATGTCACTGCAAAAAGGGCAATCAAGGAAGTGAAGTAATCAATATGTAAATCATGCCCACTCAGCAGGAGTTGATTTAACAAGGACACGATGTCAGTTTTGTCGTGCAGTTTGTTCTTAAGAGCTCTGTTAGAGGCTATTGATAGCAACAAGTCTAATTAGTTTTTGTAAATAAACATTACTGAAAAAATCCAGCCATGCAACCCGTATCCAAAAATATGAGAGGAAAAAAAGAAACCATGAGGGAAATGGCAGCAAATTTGCTAACATATGCTTCAGGCCTTCATAATAAAGAATGACACTCTGGTATTTCAGTTTTGTGTAAAGCACATTAAAGTGAAAATGCACGATGCTAATTTGGCAGCAGGCCAATATGTCAAATCAGACTTATCTACTTCTCACTTCTGTGCTTAAACCCAGAGTCATTAAACCAGCATAATATTTTGCCCTTCTTACTCTGAAAGAGCAACACCCAGGTGCCAAAAGACTGCAGAGTGGAGTCAGCTACGTGGCTTGTGTGCTGTCAGTCTGGATGCTGCAGGGTGAGGATCTGAGCCACCAAAGAAATGCAATTACCACCCAGGAAATTCACTGCCTGTCTGGTGCTATTGCTGTTATATGGCTGAAATTACTTAACAAGAAAGGGAAGGAAGGTCAGAAGTGCCTGCCATTTATTGGATGCCACTGACCAGTGTGTGAGATATCATTAAGAATCAATCAAAAAAACTCAAATTAGAGTCTGGCTTTCTACTGCCATCCTTATTAACCTCAGAAGAATCATGCTGTGAATAATCATTTCTTGCTGGTGGTAAAAAGAGCATGGTCTACTTGCTCCCAGACCAGATGCTCTTTGACATAGTATGTGTTCATTTTCCCACCTGCCACTTCTGTTCAGAGCAGCCATGTGAAGCACAGAGGTAGAAGAGAGCCTACATCAGAGAGAAACCACATGAGGATGCTCTGGGTATGAACGGTGCCTTTGTCATGGTACAGTCTGGACACACTTAATCAAGACACTTTTGGGGTTTTTTTCCCCACTCTGAGAGGTTAGGAGGAACATATGTAAAATAAGCCTCAAGCAAGCAAAGTAATTCAAAATATGAAGGAACTGCCAGGTCAGACAAATTGGCTTTGTTTTTTCACATAAAAAGGAGCTGTTTAAAAAAAAATGCAAATCAAACACGACATTTTGTCTTTTTTTTTTTTTTTTTTCTTAAATAAAACCAGACTGTATATTTCACACTTCTATTTAATGGGTTTCCAGCAGAATTCAAATGAACTGCAGGTATGGCTGAAACACTGACCAGAAAATGTATTCATCTTGCAGTCTTTATTATCTCTCTGTAGTCCCAAGCTTGCCCCACAAGCTTGTTGGCTTTGCCTTATGTAGATAATCAGAAGCAGTGTTTATAATGGGCTATCTGCTCTGTAGGATAGGATTGATTTTGAGATGAGCAGCATTTTCTGAACTGGTATTAAAATGGTCTAAAGCATTCTTTGTCACCAGAATCTCAGTAGCCAGAGTTCCATGTGCTCTGTATCACAGTGGCCATGCACTTTGTTACAGAGCAGCCTGTCAGAGCAGAAAGGACCAGTCCTGCCTAAGCTTTAGAAGTGGAAGATACATTAACTCTATTCTAAACTATCTGCAGGATTGAAAGTGGCAGTTTGTGTTACAGCTCAACAGGGTCAGGGATGGCTCGGTGCAGGAGACTCTTATCTCTACAATCTTGAGACAAATGGAACAGCATGGGCCTAATTTCCTGAATCTGCACTTTCTGTCAAGTTTTTATGGCTGATCCAACAGTCATGAAAACTTAGGCTTATTCTGCAATAAAATAGAATTCTAAAAACCCCACCCACAAAGGATTATATCAGTTCAGCCCATATTACATAGGAAAGCTGTAGAGCCTGCTTCTGCAAAATCAGACCAGAAATTAAGGTTCAAGAAACGGCTATATGATTAATAACATCTCCCTCCAGAGAATTCCTATCTTAACTTCCTAGAGACAGCATAAACTGTGAAAATAAAATAAGCATTAAGAGAAGTTGCTTATTACTATAGGCTAGAAAACAGAAATTGGGATACAGCCAATTAAAATTATACCTCCTGTGTTCAAACTTGATCTTAAGTGTCACTAACATATCCACAAAGAAATAATTCCTATTTATGTTAGGACTGTGGGCATGATACACCATGTCAAATCCATTCCCAGAGCCAAAATCAAACGACAAAGTTCCCTTTGTTAAGAAATATTAAATCTTATGAATTTAAAAAAAAAAATCTATGCAGGTTTTGATGGGCTGAGATCCTTAGATATCCACACACTCCAAATTGCAAGCTGCAGAACAGAAGCACACTTTTGTACATCACATTGGGATGGACCTTCACTCAGTTTTTCTCTTTTATCTAGGAAGAGCTGAAGGATTCAAATGACACTGAAGCCAAGTGCTCTATTAAATACTCAAGATCTAATCCTGATACCATCTGCTATACTGATTTAAGATAGGAGAGTTTTCCCTTCAACATTCAGAAATCTGAACAGAATGCAAAAGATGTCAAAGGTTGTTTATCAAACCCACCATACCTGGATCAGAAATAGTCAGTGCTGCTGCCTATGGAATATGATCCTCCAGGAATATTAATGTGGTAAGAAAATAGCAGCATAAAACTGGAGGATTTGACTTCAAAAACATCCATTCCTGCTAATTTCCAGTCAAGTGAAAAAAGCACCAAATGATTGCAGGTAATTGTTTGTAGAAAACAGTTACTAGGATGGGTCTGGTAGCTTTCCACACTAAATTTAACCTCCCTCTCTCACTCTTGCTCTCCAGGCAAAAGGAAATCTTTAATGGTTCCTCAGTCCTGCAGTTAAGGCAAGCTGTCAGCTGACACAGGAACAGAAGCAGTGAGTGATGCAGGAATCCCAAACACCCTGCATCTCCAGAATACCTGCCCCCTCAAGGCAAACAGATCACAGGTTATCAAACTTCCATGTTTGCTCCAGAATCCCACCCACTGCTTCCTGCAAGTGGAGAAAGGACCTGTTCATCCACCCTGCTGCCCTGCACACAAATCCGGGCAGTCACAGCTCTACCCAGCAAAATGTGAAATACCTGCCCTCTAGCAACAGTTTAAGCAAAGCCTTTCATCTTCTCTCACTCTGTTTGTGTAGCTGCAGCCCCAGAAATCGAGCAGGGAGCTCTCCCTTCCTTCGGGTTGTTCTCAATGCAGAGGGAGTTCTCTCCTTCACGGCTGCACTGCCTCCCCTCTCTCTGCTGTGAAAGGGAAGGGAGGAGGGTGGACAAGGAGGCTGTTCACCCTGGCCCTTCTATCCCAAGAAGCCATTTCATTAAGTTCTCCTCTCTTTAACATACCATATAATCAGCTCCACATCACAGCACTCAAGGCAGGCTCTGAGACAGTGAATATTTCCACTGGGGCTGTGCAGTGCTCTCAGATGGTTCAAAACCTGCATGTCCTCTAACCATTCTATAAAGCTTCCAGAACAACACATTCCACTTTTGAGGGGCTTGTATCTGTCCACCTGTCCTCACAACCTCACTTTTTTACTTCTTTTTTTTTTACAAAAGTGTATAGTACCACTGGGCTTTGCAGCTGATTGCACAATGGAAGCCACACACAGAGGCAGAGCAGTTCAAGACTCCAAATATATTTCTTTATTTACAAATCTTCTGTAGCCCTGGACTGTTTCTCCCAGCAGTATTTGCAAACTTTTTTTTTCCTGAAAGCCATTAGACTCAAACTTCAGATCCAATTAACACATATAAAAAGGACACTACCTTGCTGTAAAATAGGTTTTGAAATCGACTCAGACTGATGCGAAACCTTGTCTGGATATTCTTAGCTCTTAGCTTGCAATGACTTCGCTCAAGTCAAACACATTAAACTAAATTGATGTAAACTCAGGCTAAATGCATTCCAGAGCATCCATAAAAGAGCTTGTCCCTGTTTGAATAAAGAAATTTAAAAGCTGATATCATTACAAAGATGTGATTTATCATGGTGAAAACTGATATTGAAAATACACATAGGGAAAGGCAGTCACAGTGGAGTGTTTTTATTTTGCCACTGTAATTCGGGACAACAACATCCAAGGGAAACAGAAGGGTAAGACACAGAGAAAAAGAACATTTTGTCACAGATGAACAGTAATCTTATTGCTAACTCAGCTTTCTTTAAACACCTGCCTGACTTGGGTGGGTTTCAGTGGAACCATGTGTACACTAAAAGAACTGGTAATCTGCTTCAATTCTGTCAGAATTGAAGAGTATGAAAAGCAAACAGGGCTGTACTAAACAGGGAGAGACGTTCCCATTGGTAGGACATATGAACACAAGTGATAACCCAACTGGGGAAAGGGAGTTCCATATTTATATGAATTTATATTCACTAGAAATGTACAATTAACCCAAATCTCGGCTCAGTAGGGGTATTTTATGTCCTGTGCTTGAGATGAAAAATGTCAGAAATGGAAAGCTAAATGCAGCAGACAACTATGCTCACCCAGCCTGATTAGAAGAGGGGCTTAAAAAATGTTTATTTAATATATTAAAACGCTTGCTGTCAACACCTTTCATGCTATGTGCTTGAATATCCTTGATTAGGGTTTGTGCAGCTGTGGTTCTCACACTGAATTAATTTTGTAAATTGTGGTGAGATTATAGAAGTTTTCCAGCTGTGTAATCATTAATTAACTTGGCTGCATTTGAACCCATGCTTGTCTGTGAAATACTCAACTTAGATAAAACATCACCTCTGCCTTCACTTGGTGTTTCTTGCAGAATGAAAACTCTTTTCCTGTTTTTTGTTGGTTTGTTTGTTTGATTTAAAGGGAAGAATTCACTGTAACTTATGCCCTCAACTATTTTCTTCCCAAAGTCAAAGCCTACTCTGTGAAACAGGAATCATGGAAGCAAACAAGTAGGTCAAGGACTTAAATTGCAAAATAAATTACAGTCAGAACCACTTATTTCATTACTCTTCTAAGTGCTAGCACACTATGATAGAGATTAGATGTTGCTAAGGGACATTCAGGAAGGACTTAAATTTGCAACTTTCTGTTCCGATTAGGATGGAGCAGGAGACTGAACTCTCTCTGAGCACCTTGACATCTCTAATGAGAGTCTTCTTGAGAAGCTAATTTACATCTATTTAAGCGATGCTATTTTGTTACCTTATTCAAAGGCTGCTCCTTCCACCTCTACTAGGAGAGTGTCAGTCAAATACTCCATAATGATCCTGCCAAAGGTGGACATTGTGCCAGCAGGAATTACTGTCTGTCTCGCTTTGCCTCCGTGGTGATGCACGAGCCAGGACTCCCAATCAATATATGCATGACTGAACCTTGGATAATTGTTAAGCCTGATAAGGTCAGGGTTTATTTACACATGAGAATGTTCATTAATATAGTTTTGATTCAGATGCTACTTCAAAAGAAACAAGGATTGCATTCCAGAAAAAGCTCAAGTCCTGGATTTAAATAATATCCAACTTGTAGAAGTAAAATCACTATGAGCATGGAAAAAAGAAATGTCATTTTTAAATCTTCAGACATCTGAAAGAAAATAATAATATGCACAGGGACTTCCAAAAAAAAAAAAAAAAAAGAGAGAAATCTTCTATTTTAGAAAAGTCTTAGAGGATATTCTTAATTCCCTTTGAAGCTGATGTTAAATATGTGCTTAACTTTTTGCCTACTTGGGGAATCAAATCAGCAGCTTGATAAATAATTTCTGCCTAGGAGCCTGTTGGACCAAGGAACAGTTAAATTAAAGAGGTACCATGAATAAGTCATGCCATAGCAAGAAGAACTGCTCACTCACACAGACTACCTAAATTAATTAAACTTCAGTGGATCCCTGTTATTTAAACAAAGTAACATGATTCTTCTGTCTTTCCTAACTGGAAATTTCAAAGTATGGATTCACATGCTGGACAACCTTGGAAAAGGCACCTGACAAGACTGGGGTAAAGTCAGGCATTTGCCTTTGCAGATCAGGAATTATCCTGCAAAATTCAACCCAGATACATCCAGTTACTCTTTGTTTCTTCTGAATATTCTCTGAGTTCAAGGTTTCTCACTCATGATGGGATTTTCACCCTTTACCTGGGAGGACATTCCATGGCAGGGATAAAGGATGGCTTTGTCATCCTCTTCAGCCCCCTGGTCCAGGCAGTAGCCGCTGGCTTTGCTGTTCCGCACCTAGAACCAGATCAGAATGAAAACTTCAGCTGGAAATTAATCCCTATTTTAGCCCAGTCCAGCTAAATCTCAGCTGTGCTACAGCTCCTGAAAAAAGTACTATGTAAAACTGCTCTCTGAGGGACACATGCTTCTCCTTCAGCTATGACAGGGTGCCAGCAGTGAATCTGCTCCAGGAAAAGACATTATTTGGACAACCTGCTGTCTCTACACACCTTGGGTCAGAGGTACATTTTTGGCAATTACTCAAGGATAAGAACTTCCTAAAATTCACCCTAAGAACCCAGGCCGAGTTTTGCTCCAAATTGCCAATGTGCAAACATAAATTTTGACCCTGTATGATGAGAATGCGGCTTCACAAACAGGATAGGAGCTGCCCAGGATTGGTGTTGGATGTGACATGCTTTTGTTTCTTCCTATTGCTGATATAAAACCAAAAAAGCATGTAAAAAATTTTCATCTGAACTGAAAATATAGTACATTGTTATGTACAGAAGTGACATAAACCACATTTTATGAAAGGGCACAGGTTCAGAGATCCAAGGAAGTAAAAAAGTTCCTGTGCCTCCCTAGACAAGAAGAATTTACAAGTCTATAAAAACTGGGATGGAGCTCTTGTGAAAACACTTCCAGCCTTTCTCTTGAGGCTGGAAGCATTACACACATATTTTGAACATAGAAAAACTTTAGAGATATCGTAAACAAGAAGTTATTTAGACCTGTTGAGTCTCAAAAGACTCAACAGGTCAATTTTGGTTTAGACTGTGATGTACCTGTCTAGCCACCCCCATAATTCAGAAACAGCTGCTGTATAAGTTGTCAGAAAAAAATCAGTATATATTCCTTCATATTATAGTGTACAAGCATAACAGGGAATCCAATTGGATAAGGGGCCTCACCAACAACTGAATTTCAGGAGGTTTATTTTATGGCTTGGGTGTTGTAAAGGCTAAAGAAGATGAAGACAGCTTTATGAGATGGCTTTAAAAAAAGGGGAATTGAGTCACTAGGAAATATATTTTTACTACTGTTTCAATCTGTCTCACATCTACTCAATACATTTATTTTTCTTGAAACTCACAAAAATTCAGATATCTTTTCCTCCAGGAAAATAACCAAAAGTACTTTACAACAAGCTTGATGTCATTAGGATGAAGCCTAAGAATGAAAGGGACCTAGGCTGGTTTATAACAGGTAAATAACTTGTGTGGCTCTATTCCATTAAAAATGTTAAAGAATTTGATATTTGCATCACTAGACTTCCTTTTTGACTCAAGAACCTTCTATGTGACAGCTCAAGAGTAAGAAAATTTATTTTAGAGCCCAGATTGCTCAGGGTCTGGTATAATTGACACAACATTGGCACTTCTGCCAATGTTCTTCACTGCTAACGACCTTCTCAGAGCTGACAGACACCAAGAGCTCCTCTTGAATTTACTCAGCGTCTTTCCTCAGTTCCTGATGGAGATAGTTATATTAGGATGCAAAGTGATATTATGGAATAAAACTTCCACTTTGTATCAATGTCTCAAGTGCCTGACTTATTTTTGTATGAAGTCAATCAAATGGAAGAGAAAGGAACAGTCTCCATTTAGCTGTCTTGTGGGAAAATATATCGCCTTCGGGTTTAATTGCAGCTCATGTAGACAATTATTTGAGCTCTGTTGACCACTGACATTTTCTTTATGATGTCTGTGGCATCTTATTTGGGAAAATGATTGCCTCAAACTTATGTCTCAGTGTTTTAAAATGAGAGCGAAGGAGGTTGTGTGCAATTGTCAGTAAGGATGACTTCACCTGTGTCTCAGCATATGTCGCAGTTGAGACGGCTGTGATACACAGAGTATCACCACACAAATCAGAAGGCTTCAACCCACACACAGTAACATCAGGTCACTTCAGAAGCCTTCAAGCATCTGCCTTTCTTGTTCTTTAGCCCAACATTTTATCCCCCTCATGTTCATGCATTGCACCTGTGTGCCCTCTGCTCCCTTTGGTGGCTGGTCAGTGCCCCTGGGCACTCCATGGCTCATTGCTGTCACTGCTGCTCACAGCTGTGCCCACTGGGGATGGGGCTCAGCCACAGCCCCACTCCCAATCACCACAAACTGGGTGCCTACAACCTGCTGCTCCCCAACAAAAGGAACAGGGCTTCTCACAGCCATGCTCCTTAGTGTTGATTAAAAGGAGAGGAGGGCATTTTTGTTGCCACTGCTGTGCTGATGTGTAATTGCTCTGTACATCCTGATAGCCAGCTCTGAAAGCAGAGGACTGCTCGAGTGCAGCTGTGATGTGTTTCCAAAGACGTGCTGTACCTCTCCGTAAGTGACTGTGTTATTGTAAACCCTCATCTCAGGGTACACGTTCTCCAAGTACCACTTAAAGCTCCGGCACTGCAGGCGCTGTCGCAGAGCAATTCTTTCAGAAACGTCTCCAAAGTCAACTCCGGGGTTCTGCAAAGCAGAAAACGAATAAAGAAATTTCACTGCACTGGTTTTATGGTTGCTATTTTTACTGAAATCAAACTGGAGTTCATTTTGTACATCAAGTTGTATTTTCCTCTTTTCCTTCTTTTGTTGTGAGCAGCAGCTCATCAAACAGCTGGTGTTGAGTGCAGACAATAAATATTAATGAAAGCCAGTGGAAAAAGGACATAAAGAACGAAAGAAACCCCAAAATAAATAAAAATAATAAGAATACAATAAGAATGTTTTTACTTACAGCAGTTTTAAGTGTTTGCAATCAATCCTGAAGTCTTTGCTTTCAGATTCATTTAGAATTTCAGCAGTAATTCTGATCTAAAATATGGCAGCTTGGTCATGCTTTACTCCAGTAAGAGATTTGAGTGTTCAGTAAAGTAAATGACGTCAGAACAGATCTGTTAAAACTTCAAAGCGAAGCTGCTCAAAAATCATTAAACTCCACTAAGCATTCATAGAGACCAGCATTCAGTTTTTACTACAACTGGAGCTCATTTGCAGACTTGAGCCATAGAGTGCAGTTAAACTCAAAACCTTTATAATTCTACTTCAGAATTTAATTCACATTTAAATACAAATCCCATGAAAGACACAGACTGGAAGATTCAAGTTAATATGAATAAAGTCAGACATTTAAAACTGGTGGGTCCTGAGTTAGAGTCTGTTGATTTAGAGTGTTATAAATCATCACAGTTCAACATTAAGACAGTAAGAGTTACCTCATCCTAAAACCTTTTCCGACACTACATTAATCAAATGGACTGAAACTGGGGAGTTTTGCATGAGATCTCTCTGAAGTGCCTTGTGCTCTTCCTACAGAAGAATATCTTTACATTTTCCAGATTGTTTCTAATGCAGGGTTCCAAGACAGCAGCAAATCTTAGCTCAGGGTTTATTAAGATCCCCAACAGATGCCTGGTTTTCAGTAGAGAATAGAAGTGTAATACTGAACAGGTTTTCCTATTTGCCACATAAAGAGTTTGCTGTGCTCACTGCTGCTTGCTGATGCACGTTCTGTCAGGAGCCCTCAGTGCAGCATCCATTCAAATGAATGTTAATTTACGGAGTACTTGAGGCTGCGTGGAAGGAGAGCAATCCTCTGAGGCACTCAGTGCAATGTAAGATTCCTTTATCACTAAAATTGTTGAGGAATACATCATAAGTGGGGATGTACCAAGTATTTGGTTAACTGGAATGAAGCTGTGCTGACCTGCTGCTGAACATGATCCTGCAAGTGTGCCCAAGACCATCTGCTGGTCTAGAGAAACTCTCAATAACCTGTGAGTCGTGACAAAGATGGTGGGAAGAAGAGTTAAAGTGAAGAAGTTAAGAATATAAATTACAGAGAAGTTAATTTGGATTGATTTTGTGGTATGGGAAAATGCAGGTGTTTTACCTACTGCTTTTCTGCCCTATTTAAAATGAGGCAATACAGAGCTCTTTTTTGCAGTGCTGTTTCTACAGAGCACAAGAGCAGCAAATGGAGCAGCTATGGAAACAAATTGAGCTGTGCTCACCCTCTGTGCCAGCTGCTGTCACCACGGGCCGGTTACAGTGTGATGGCACAAGAATGAGGTGTCCACAGGATTTACTTTTTGGACATATTCTTTTTTAACCAGATAGCAAGGTTTCTAATTCCCCTGCAGAAGGTTTTTGTGATGGCTTATGCCAAAAGTACATTACTTCTTGTCGAGATCCCACACTTCTGTCATCTATATTGAATAATGTCATGGGCACTAACATCAGCTTCCTTTTCCTGAGAGCTAATAGGCTTATTTTTATGATGCACATTTTATCAATCAATCAATCAATCAATCAATCAATTTATTTTATGAAAAGGAAATTTTAATGCTCAGTACTTCTGCTGATTTTATGTCTTTTATTGTAGATATGCCTGGATTTTTTTAAAAGCTCTGCTGTATAGCTCAGTGCAGAAAACTGCATCAATAAGTAATCTCAGAGAGATTAAAGGAAATCATGTTTTGCTGTAAATGCTTATTTAAATATCATCTTTTCTCAGAATTCATTTGCACATGTCATCAAGCAAGCAAATTTACAGAGGTTAGTTTTTCATCTCCTAATTGAAAACTGACCATTTTAGCAAGTGTCTTTTATGTGTTCAGACAGGGCCAAAATGCTCATAAATTTTTAATGGACACTGCACTGCCTTCTTCCTACTGTCACAGAAATCTTATGTAGAAAAAGTGATGCACTATTGCCTTTTGTTAAGGCAAAATAGTTCTCTGCAATTACCTCTTGTGCTAAAAGAAGTCACCAAAACCACATTGCACAGAGTGTTCAATATTGAACAGCAGTGAGTGAATTTAGAGCTGTGAAAATATCTGGAATATTCAGACATCAAATGGACAAAGAGGAAACATTGCTCCTTTAAAATGTGTATTTTAAAAACTGTAAGGAGAACAAACAAAAATGGGGTTTCATGTATTAACTAGGTACCAAAGTATGAGTAGATGTTTAGGACAGACTAAATCTAATGAAGTCTTTGACAAGACTCCCATGACTTTGATGAACTCCAGGTCATAACTGAATATTCCCAGACACCTCTGGGTTTGCGTATTTTCCTGTTCTGATAGGAACATTCCTGTTCCTGTTTGCTTCAGCCCTGGGCAAACCCCTGCTGTAAGGGTTAGCTAAACCATCCTTACCTACAGATCAGTGCATGTTACCCCTCAGCTGCTCTCCCTGTGCCCCTTCACATGAATATTTTGGATGCAAACACAGCAAGGAACACACCAACAGCCAGCTTCCACCTGGCTGGGATATAACATAAAACTCTTCAAGAATTGTGCTCAGTGCAGATGTAGCATGTGATATACTTACAGAACTAAGTGATAAATGGAACCTACAGTTTATCTAATATTTATATTACATGGATTCCTAGAGGCACTCACACGACATCTACAATTCGTATGCACAGTGAGAAGCAGAACGTGCCCACATTGCACCTCTCAGTCTGTGGACAATAAAGCTATTTAATGTGTGATTTTTTTATTGCATACTTCCTTTTTTATGCTGGTGAGGTCTACTGAGTCTCATGATGAATGATATTTATTTATGGACATTTCTCTTGTCCCCATCGTTGTAGCATATGAACACCTCAGAGTTTAACGGGGCCCCAAATTAATGACTTCTGGAGGAGCACATAAACCTGAGACATTTTGCTCTGGTTAAATTATAAATCTGTGTCACTGCACACAACAGTCAGGACTGAGTGCACAACTAAATTTGGACTGAGGAAGCAAGTTCTCCTGGCAGAACTCTCCGTACTGAGCACGCACCAAAGCACTTTCCCTGAGCTTCGTGCAGCTGTAGTAACGCCCTTCACCTCCAAGGGCTAACCAGGAACAGCTTCGTGTTTCTGCCTGTGTTCAGGCCAGAGCGTGGGCTGTACTTACTGCCATGGGGATGTTCCAGGCCATGTAGACGTGTGACTTGAAGTCATCCATCCAGACCTCGGCGGCGCGCAGGGCGTTGCGCTTTGCATAGTAGTCGATGTCGTTGTTGTAGGGCTTCTTGGTGCGCTCGATGTGCGCCACGCGGGAGCAGGGCAGCACCTCCATGCTGCCCCCGCACTGCCACACCTGGGGGGCACACAAAACACCACGTGGCTTCTTTTTCCCCTCTAGAGGTAATACAAGTGCTTCTTTGCAGGTGCGGGGTGTTTGCTAGTCAGTTCAAAAGGATGGCACAATTCTCCTCTCGCGGCGCAGGGCAGGTGGGGCTGAGGGGGATGCAGATGGCTGCATTAGGCACATAAGTTTGAAGCCATAAAGAGACAAGTCCTTCACCATAATATCACTCTTCTTGGGACCATCAGGCAGAGAAAAAATTGTGAGGTGGTAACCTCTGCCATGGGCGCTATTTTAATCTAGTGTTTGTTACTGAAATTTCAACAAAAATCAGCCGTGTCATCTGGCTGTGTTTGACACATGAATGGGGACTGGAAAGGGCTCTAAGGTCACCCCAGAGCCTCTATTCTCCAGACTAAACATCTCCAACTCTCTCAGACTGTCTCCACAGGAGAGGTGCTCCAGACCTCTCATCATCTTATCTCTGTACCCCTGAGCTGATGAAGAGGGCTAAAAGGGGCTGAGTGGAGGCTGTGTCACCCAGCCTGCCCAGACACCATGGAACCCACACTGTGCAATTTTCTCCCTGCTGATTGTTTACTGTCTGAACTCCACGGCAGGGGACAATGAGGACTTGTCTCTTTGCATCAGCAAGATCTGGATTGATCCAGAGTGTGGGAGGCTTATGGATTCAGCCCCTTCAGGTCTGCACCTAGTAGGAGAGTCTGAAAATGAAAGGTGTTAAAATATAAGCAGTAATCCAGTACTTTCCAAGGTTGCCTTTTACTGAGAATAAAAACACATTTCTATACAAGATGCATTCCTGAACTATACTGGGGCATTCTTCACATAACCTGCTTTCTCAAGGACAAAGATAAAGTGCTTGGGAAGTGGCAAATAAAATCTCTGCTCTGGCTTTTCTTTTTTTAATACTTTGTTAGGTAATATTTACTTGCTGCTTTCCAAACAGTTCCGTAGTAAATCACTGGCTACTGAAATTTACATTTGATAAATGGAATACACTGAAAAACACACTGCTCATAAATTTGGACTGACGTGTGCTGAGGTTTTTCAGTGCAAAACGGAAGCGCTACCAAAAAAAAAAAAACAAAACAACAAACCAAATGAAAAAAATTAATTGATTTTCACAATCAGAAGGAGAAATGAGCAGCACACTTTAGTATACTGCTATTTGCCCAGCCTAGCCTGGAAGTCAGCTATTTAATGCACAGCACATTTTTCTTTCTATTGATATGCTTAATGACCTTGTAACTCTTATTTATGTATTTTGGTACCAAGGGCAAGTACATTATCTGAGTGACAGATTTATTTCCTTTGAATGCCAGTGCTCACACAAACCTGGAAATGAAAAAGTACTAAACTGCAACATTAAAGAAAACAGTTTAGCTCATCTGTAAATTCAACACAAACAGTTATTTATCAGTGATAAATTCTCCACAGATGAAATCCACAGGGAACACAGACACCTGGCTTTGAAGGAAGCACAACAAAAAAAGGCAGCAGCAGCCTCAGGCCAGATAACTCTCACTCTGTCTGATCCTGGTGCTCAGTTCTCAGTGGGGGTCTGGCTGTGGTGTGACTGCCCCATCCATAATCCCTTGGACTGCTTTCCCCTGACGCTCAGTCACTTCTTCCCCCTTAGCCCAGTTTTGCTCTTTAAAGATCCAATATCTGCTGAAGAGGAGAAAAGAGGGAAGGAAACAGCCAGGAGATACTCAAGGAAATTTTACTTCCTTAGAAGACGCTGAAATTTACCCCAGATGACTTGGTTTTTTTCTGGGAGTATGTAACTTTTAACACCAGCAGAGGATGTTTCCCTGGATAAGAATGGTATTTCCAATCCCAAAGAAAGAGAACTGGACGTAGAGCACAGGGGGCAAGGAGTCAGATATCTGTGTATCACCAGGTGAACATCATCATGCCACCTTTTCTCCACATCCCAGACAAATGTCACAGCTCCTCAGCTGTGGCCATTTCTTTCCAGGCCAGACAAGGTCTCCTGTTTCACTTTATGAGGATCAGGTGCTGTTCAGTGGAGCACAGACACGACTCAACATCTCCACACCCTTTCAGCACATGGCTAAGTACAGGGCGAAGATTTTGTCTCCTTCCCTTCCAGACCAACAATTACTTAAACTTACACTAAATAGAAGAGTATCTGCAGTATAATAAAACATGTGCATCCAAAACTGGGCAAGATCCCAGCAGCTGAGAGCCATCATGTAAGATTTGGATGAATACTCGAGACCTGTGCTCTAAGGAGGAGCATGGGATGTTCAGCTCACCTTCTCCTCTCTGGACACAGGGTTGAAAGGCAGAAAACCATTCCCTGTCTGGTTTTAACCAGGGGTGAAAGAATGAGAAAACTTTTACTGTATGAGTCAGGTAAGAGAGGTGAGTCAGTGGCTGATCCTGAAACTGGTTGATTCCCGTCCTCTTTTCATTCTCAAAAATGCACTTAATGACCCATTTTAACAGTAGCAGACTACACATTTCTTTCCACATCAAACTATGAAATTATGCCAGGAAAATAATTACATGCCCCTGTAAAGCATTTATCAAGCAGGATCCTTAAAGTACCTTACTGGGGGGAGCAAACTATTTCTAACTGTGAACACAAAATGATGCCCAAGGCCCTCCAGAGAGACACATTCCAGGCAATCAGAGAAAACTGCCTTCCATATCTGTGGCTTATCTTCTGGGAAAACAACACATTTCCAGCCCAAGTTATTCCTCTCATATGGAGCTGCCAACACTAAATATGTGTCTCAAGGTTCATTTACTGAGCTGGTGGAAGTGTTACAGCCCCTGAGTTGCTGCCCACAAGTCTGTACATCACTGAAAATCCCACTCCACCTTCTTTTCCCCCATGGAGAGACAAATCCCTTAGAGAAATTTTGGGTTTTTCTGGCTTCACAGCATGCACTCATCAAACCTGTACTGTGGGGCAGTAGCCCAGGCTCCATGGAAGGCCAGAAGCAGCAGCAAAGCAAGATGTGTTCTCCTTGACTTGGTATAGCTGAGCAGCCCAGGGACTCAGCTTTGCCTCTGTGAGCATCTCACTGTGCAACATTTTAAGACATGATCAAGTAATTCCAAGAGACACTCAATTTATTTGCTAATTGTAGCTAATTTCTAATTTCAGCACCGCTCTTTAGGCTGCTATAAACAAAATTGATGGCAATTTAAATGTTACCATAGCTGTGTTACCTTAGCATTTTTACTGCTAATTATCTCAATCAACTTTTCTATAAACAGACATATTAAGTATTGAGAAGAACAAGTACCCCCATCAGGAGTAAATTACAAACTGAGTTATTATGTTTGTGGCTTGCACTATAATGATTTACTGACACCAGTTTTCAGCTATTCCTATACACCTGAGGAGTGGCTGTCCTACAGGAAAATGTTTATTTATGCAGCAGCCAGCTGGACATCACATTTTATGCATCAGAGGAGATCTGAGATGAGGCCGTGTCTTGTCTACCATGGCCTCAATTGTGCATCAGCAGAGTTCTCTGAAGGCAGGTTGGGTACATTATTTAGAAAGGCTAATAAGATACCTTAATTCTTGTCAAACAAGAAGAAATTTTCCAAGGAAATACATTTTCCCACAAGTACTTCCTGCTGAAGATTGAAACCATCTTTACCAGGATTTAAAAAAAATAAAATTAAAAAGAGTTAAACAAGCCTGGCCACCACTAAGTAGGAAGTAGAGCTGGCCAGAGTGCTGGGCTAATCAATTCCTAAATCTTGGCAATATACACAGAGAGAACATTGCTGATGTGTTCTCCTGCCCTGCAGGTGAGACCTGCTTCCAACAGCATCATGTCCTGCAGAGTGAAGGTCAGAGCTCAGAAATATCCTGGGATTTTATATTTGCCATTTTTAGCATTTTAAATATGATTCCTAGGATTTAATATTTGCCATTGGCAAGAGAGCAGCTGCAGCTCCCAAGAGGCTCTTGCTAATTAAAGGGAGGGCTCTTCCTCTCTATGGACTTGGTGCTCTGTAAATTGAGTATCACATTATTGTGTACACTGGAGTGACTGCACAGGGCTATTTAATTTGGTACAGATGAGCTCACCAAAGCAACATCAATAGGTAAAAATAAAAATGGCATCAGTAGGAAGGAGAAACTGGGGAGACAGTTTTAACTTTGAAAACCTAGACTAGAAGTAAAGATTGTGGCCCTTAAGAACTTTGTACCTTGCTGTGAATTTTGCAGTTTAAACACCCTGGTGCCCAGTGAGAGAGAAAAAGAAAAGTCTCAGATTCTCTGTTACAACTCTTTTTTCCATCAAACAGACTTTTGATTTAAGCAGCTGGAGAGATGAGGTATCCCAGAATGTGTAACAGTGGAAAGGACACTTCAGTGTGTGGAAGATTTGCTTCCAAATAATCACCCTTTGCCAACACTTTTGTACCCTCTTCATGGAAACACCAGTTCCAAACATTCCTCTCAACACCACAGCTTCACAGATACCAAAGCAGCTCCAGTGGAGTGTGACCCAGGCATTTGCAACCTGTTGGTCTCCACCTCTTTTAAAACCCAACTTTTCCAGGAGAGCTGGGGTTAGTTCAGCTTTTCTGATAATATAGAACATGGAGTAATTAATAAAATTTTCAGTACCCTGAGGCTCTGAGCCCATTTTCCATAGGCAGGAATCTCTCTGGAGATGTCACTGCACAACATGCATGGGTGCTGTAGCAGCTTTGTGCTTTATCTGCTTCCAGCAACTTTGGACATTTCAGTGACCCTTTCCTGAAAGGAATAACCACAGTCTGCATCTTCCAGCTGTAACAAAATGGAAGGAACCAGCTTCAAAACACACATGTGGCAGCAGGGTGCCTCATTTCTGACATACCCAGCAGAGGATGGCACCTGGCACTCGTGCCATTTCAGACATGGATGTTCTGCACATCCTGAAACAAAACCCTGCTGCTGGAACAGGGCTCCGATGTTTTGTGGAGCAGGTCTGAACTCCGCC